AATAAAATAATTATAAAATGTAAACTAATAATTATAAGTTCAGTATATAATATTATAATTAGTGAGGTTGTAATAATTTTGGATTATAGTTAGTTAGGCTGTAATAGTTTGGGTTTTTTTAGCGGATTAGGGTTTTTCGCCAAAACGAGATTTTAATGGCCATTTTTTCATTGATTAGTCTACTCTTTATAATAGTCCATACATAATTATATATTTTATCCATGATAACTCTCTGATTTTTCTTTTATGTGATGCAAATTTAATAGTTAAAATAAGTTTATACAGGGAAATAGCATCTCAATATTCACAAATTGATAAAAAAAATGAAAGTTAATAATATAGTACCCTCATTTTTTATTGGATTCCAAAAAAAAACAACTTTTATAATGAATTTTAATAATTTTTTTGGATTTTTTTGAAGCTTTAATCATACCGATTCAGCCGATTCTCGATCCGGATTGCCGATTTACCGATCCGAATCGGTTTTTGAGGTGCCCGATCTGGGTCACCGATCCGCTTTTTAAACCATTGCTTCAAACTAAACCCTTTATTGATATTACCATTTCCGATTCATTTCTTGAACTAATCTTGTTCAGTTGTACAACTATCTGGATTTTTTGTTGAGCTTTGATAATTTGCAGGCGGTAAATAACTTATTATCTCTAAAGAAAATGGGGTTTTTGGCAGGAGGTAAATAATTTAATTTATCTAAAGAAAATAAGGCTTTTGGCAAGGAATAGGTATGGCATTGGGCTGATCGGCTCGCCCAAGCCCGGTCTACCTGACCCAAAAGACTAGAGCCTGAGCTAAAAAATGTCGCATAAGCCCTGGACCAGGTCCAGGGCCAGCCGTTCAATCCAACCCTGCCCTTTTTTCTTCAATATAATTCTTTTGTTTTTTCTTTTAATAGGGTGAAGACCTCTTTGACCTAGTTTAGGTTGGGTTGGGCTCAAGTAGGACCATGCCGTCGCCGACCCAATGGGTACCAGAGCTAGGCTAGGGCAAAGGCTAGTCGGCCCTAACCAGGAGTGAAAGATAGACTAATGTGATATTGTCGAGGAATATATTTTTTTGTTTTCTTCTTTTCACCCTTTTATTTTTCTTGTCTTTTTCTTTTGGGAAAATCACTTACAAGTAGTCTTATTACAATAACTCTTGTTTCAAAGAAAATTAAACTAACAAATCTAAGATCTTAAAAACCTTGATGCCATTAAACCAATTGTCTTTAAACAAAGAAAATATCCACAATTCTTATGCTTGAGAATATAAAACCAATATAATTAAATATAACAAGAAACAAAAAGAGAATGTCGGAGTCTACTTCAATCGGGCTTATTACACCCTACACCGAGTCACCATCATTCAATGGCACGAGATCAATGATCAACCTTCAATCTCAAACGGGAAAGTAAGTTTAGGCCAAGCCATATCAATCGAACATGAACCCCTTTCATTACAAACTCAAATCCTAAGTGAATTTCCTTCGCAACCTAGTTTGATAAAGATGGATTCTATTTTTGCTATACCCTAAAAACCCTTAGTTATAAATCCATAGTTGAGAGATGGAAGAGAGAAGAACTCCATAACCTAAACCCTTACGTTATTTTACAATGTGAGAAAGAGAGATCAAATATGAAAGAGTGGGGCATGCCCTCTTTAGGCTTTCATGAAAGAGAGAAACTTTCTTAGGAGAAAGATAAAAAGATAATGTGAAAAGATTTTTTGGTAGAGACAATCCATTTTTATTGGCTTTAAACAATATTAAGGTTCTTAGGGTTTTCCTTTGGCTTGTCTCTTTTTGTGAGATTGAATATGAATCATTGATCTTGGATAACTTGTGGGGTGAGAGATTTGAGTCATCCATTCTATAGATGGGTCATCAACATTATGGAAGGTGCTAGAACCTTTATCCCCATTTTCTAAACCATTTTTCCATCAATAGAAATTTAAAAATATAATTCTAAATATAATATTGTGCATACCAAAATAATGCACAAGCCTTCTCATGCTTTCAAAAAATTCATTCAAAGCTTCTTCAAGCCAATATAGTTCCAAAACACAATATAACTTGTCCTACAAGTCAAAATCACTTATCACAAAAATTGAAAACTTTTAAATGAGTGGGGCGTACCACCCATGAGAAGATCTCATGGGCCCCACCATCTAGACCATGGTGGGCCCATTTACATAATGGGCCTCCATGTAATTTTAAATATTTTAAAAAACTCAATAAAGTAATTTTAGAATTTATTTGAATACTTAAATCATTATAAAATCAATATCTCTGATTTTATGAATCCAAAGTTGATAAATAAAATATCCAGAGATCTAGAAAAATTCAAATAATAATTCTAAAATCATATATATCATAAAACAAACATAATTAAATTAATTTGATGGGAAAATGATCCATATGGTCTAAGAATTAAATCAATAAAACACTGGGGCACTTCACCTTCAACTATAGACTAGGGACCACATTTACTTTATCAAACCGACCAAGTATTTCTCATAACCCACAGTCCAGGTAGGGGTTCATTAGTGGGTCACCAAAGTCTAACTGATGAGCCAAGGGGTCACAATCCTAGTATGTGGATTTCAAGTTCTCCCCTAGAGACATGTCAATGTCACCTAAACCTGATGCGACCCCGGCTCCTATGACGCATAGGGGTATCTCTCGCACATGCATAAGCTTCACCTTGAAAGGTGGTTCGCTTTCCCAAAATGGTTTATCATTATGCATGTCGTGTGATGGTACATTGACGAGGCTTTGACCCATCTCTGAAGGCTACCATCACACATAAGGGTCACACAATCCCTCGGCTTACCCATCTGGGCATACTTCGACCGTATCAAAGGATGACCCATTAAAACCCTTATCGGTTAATTTTTTATGCCCAAGTAACAAAAGTTTTTCCTAACCGACTGACCTAGACCGTTAAGCATAGTTTGGTATCAGCAAATATTGTTTGCCTAGTATGGTCCACGAGGGACCACACTCCCACCGAGTTCGTGTTCTATATCATTTCATTTTACAAGCACGCATAAGGACTTGAATGTCCACACTCACGCAACAACGAGCTGGTCTCACGCAACAACGAGCTCGTCTCAGGTCGGGACAGGGCACTCTTATGAGAGCTAGCTAGACTTGTGTTGGCCTAAGTAGTTCAGTCATATTGGGTTAAGGCGCCGCTTGGCCAACCATGAGTGAAACATCTCCATACAAGGATCATTTTATATTGAAATAATGTTATGCCCTTTGCTTAGAAAATTGTGCGTTCACTCCCTCGAGCTAGACAATATTAGTAGCATTTTTAGTATATGCAAATTTTAGAGATGGAACCTACTCAACTTGGTGACTTTAAAAGATTTGCCAGAGAAAAATTACCCTGGATTTGGATTGAGACCATTCAATCTTTTAATACTCAAATCATGGCATTTGAGAATTCAAAATCCTTTTTCCAAATACCGATCTGGTAGTTCAAAATGTCTAATGCTTTAGGGAGAAAATGTACATTATGCTCTAATCGGAGCATTCGGCTGAAGAATATTAAAAGAGAACAAATTAATTTTGCGCACTTAAAAGGCAACCTAGATCTTTTTTTTTTTTTGGTAATTCAATGGGGAAGACAGACCCTTACATGTTTTTTCAAGTAGATTAAGAGTTAGTTTTTTTAAGGTGTCAGTGGGGTGGTGTTAGTGGTATGAATGGAAACCACGATAATCCTACTCTCCGTCAAATGGGGGTTTCGGGTTTACTGTCGGAGTGGATAATGTTTGAAACATTTCAAGGATAGGTACATTATACAGTCTCGGAAGTACCAATTCTTTTTGTGAAAATGTCATTAAAGGGTATGAAACACTCAAAAAATCATTAAAAACGTCAAATTACCTATATATATATATATATATATATATAGAAAAAAATTTATATGGAGCCGAGGCTCTAAACAATCAAATTAGGGCCCACCTCAAAAAGTAGTGGTCCATCCAAAATGCTATGTTAAATACACCAATGAAATAAAAAATAAAATATAAGATTATTTAAACTTCTCTAAGCATAAAAAAAAGCAACAAAATATTTAAACAAATTCGAATATCGCACTGAATCTCGAACTACCTAAATCTATAGTATCATTGAATCCATCTCTTGCTCGTTATAAGGATGCAATGAGTTTAAAGAAAGAAAAAATTGTTAGGTTACTCTTCTCCTAATTCTACCTATTATTTTGAGATATATGACTGTTTGATTATCTTTTGGGTGGAATACGATTGCATTTGTCATACACTTTTAAGATTTGAAGTCATTAGTGAATTTTTTGGACTTTTTTTCGTAAATGGAGATTCTTAATTTAATCCCACTGTTAATATTCTTATCTTTAAACCAAACATCAATAATACTAAGTTAATAAAGAAAAAAAAATTATAGGAAAGAAGTTTTATTTAAAAATTGATTTTTGGAAAAAGATAAATTGTGGATTTATATCGGTTCCAATAAAAAAACACGATTTTTTTGAAGATCTTTTAAAACATTGAAGTTCATAATGAATTTGTGAAAGAATCGTGTTTTAAACGGAGACTTGCTAACTATAATCTGGACTCCGGACCCCGATCAAGATTAAACCCAAGCGATTGCACCTCTATATACAGATGGTTGTGGATATGGTTGGCTGTTTGAATATATATATATATATATATATATATATATATATATATATATATATATATATATATATATATATGTAGAGAGTAGTATACTACGTCNCTACGACGTACGTACGA